TCTAATAAAACATATATTTTATCTATAAACTATTATCTGCCCGAACTGCCACAGACAGAAGGGTATAGTTTCTAGTTTTAGTAGAAATTATACTTACTTGTTGGACACCGCTATAAACCTGTAAAGGATTTTTGTAGCCGTGTCATTGTTATAGTACTGCTGTTAAGAAGGCCACAGTACTGTAATAGTGACAAAAATTTTTTTTTCTACTATTTTCAAAAATCACGGTCTTTCTGAAGCAATTGTATTAGACTGGGATCCCAGATTCACTAGTAAATTCTGGCAGTCACTTTTTATGCAGTTAGAAACTAAATTAACTATGTTAACTGTGTTTCATCCACAAATAGACGGACAAACAGAAAGAATGAACAGAATGTTAGAAGAGATGTTACAAATATATACAACATATAAGCAAGACCAATAGGACAAATACTTACTAGCTGCTGAACTTGCTTACAATAACTCCAAGCAGACGTTGACAAGATTCATCCCCTTTGAATTAGATTTAGGATAACACCCAATCACGCCAACTATATTAGCAGCTGAAGCTCTATACAACGTACCAGCAACTAATAATTTTATAAAACACTGAGATAACATGATCAAAGCAGCAAAGGATGTCCTAACCTTGGCTCAACAAAGACAAATCCAGTATGCGAATCAATGATATCAGCACCTAAAATTTAATATAGAAGATAAAGTATTGCTTTCAACAAAAAATATTATTAGTTCAATCGACAAACAGAGACCAACAAAAAAGTTGTTGCCAAAATACGTGGGACCTTATCTAATCATAGAAGCTATTTCAAAAGTTGCATATAAACTAGACTTGCTAAACAACTAGAAAATTCACCTGGTATTCCATATTTCACTTCTAAAACTATACAAAGAATCAAAATATTTCAACAGACTAATACCCCACCTGCGATCTTTGTATCTGAAACTCAACAAGAAGAATATGAAGTTAAATCCATCCTGGATCAAAAGGTAATGAATAAAAGAACATACTATTTAGTAAAATGGCTTGGCTACCTGTTACATGAAGCAATATGAGAACCCTTAAAAAACTTACAAAACATTTCTACAAAAATTAAAGAATTTGAAGATCAACGTGGATGTTGATTTTAAGAAGGAAGAATGTAACAAGCCACAGCCACACATGCTCTAATTTTATGTGTACGTATATATGTATACGTATATACAATGATAGCCATTTAACAAACATCACGTGAACAAGCTGGGGTTAATGCATAAACTGTTAGAATTCGATACTATTGTTATTTTATAATTTATATAACCACGGCCCCTGTCATTTACACTAACATAATGATTTATTATTAGTATAACAATCATATTATTTACTAGCATAACGATCATATCATTATATTTATTATATACCCCTTATAAGTTACAGTATGCTCTCAGAAAATAAGATTATTAAGATCATGATGCATTAATATTTATATTAATAACCCACAACTAATTTATTAGTAAAACTTATTGTGTACTTTTAGCTTCATGTATTTCTTATAAATTCGCAAATATTTTCATTATATAAAAACAACTTGTAAGATTAATAAAACAAAAATAAAGATAACAATTTAAATAAAAGAATAAAATCACTTATGCTCCTTAAGAATTACAAGAAAATTAACCCAATTTCTCAAGTATCTTACAAAAAATATAAATTATTTATACTAAAAAAAAAATAATAATAAAATGTTTTTTTTGACTAAGATTCAAAGTACAGAGGTATGAGCATACTTCAAATCCAAAAAGCATACTTTTGTCATATGATTTTCAAAGTTATTTTAATTGGCTAATAAGCTCAGGTAAACAAGAAATATAGATACTAAATCAATATGCAAGATTTTTTAAAAAATTGTGAACTATATGTTAATCACATGATTTTAAAAAGACATGCCTATAGGCAATATTATCATTCAGACAACTCAGACAGCATTTGAACAGAATTTGTCAAAGTTTGATACTGAATAACTTTGAATAATATATTGTGACCCACTTTCAGTTATTAATTAAAGTTGTTTAAAATTATTTTTTGCATATATGTATGTATTTTTAGAGTAGATTTATAAGTCTGATAAAAAGTTAGATAGTCCGTCAGATACTTTAAAAGGCTTAGATATTAAAAATGTACAATACTGTCTATGGGTATGAGGAACATGCTTTAGCTCAGAGGCATGCCCATATAAGCATACCCAATTTTTTTTTTGTACCCTGAACCCTACTTTTGATATTTAAAAAAAAAACAATCAAAAAAAAAAGCAATAAAAAAAAAAATTTAAAAAAATCCTGATTATTAATTGGCTTGAGTTCACATGATATGATATCATGTCCAATATCCAATTGAATATTGGTCCAACTGTCTAGACCACACCATTGAATTGATATCTAATCAAACCATTAAACCTCTTAGATATAACAACACTAGCTATAATGCTATAAAATAAATTCCAAAAAATATAATGAATATTTTATAGAATAGGTAGACAAACTCCACAAACTCCACAACTCCGCTATTAAAAAATTAATAATTACTAATCATTAGTGAAGCTTATTTCTTATAATACTCACCTATTCTATAAAATATCCAATATGACAATAAATTATCAAGATTTGATCAAAAAGTTCCAAAAGCTTTATAACAATACAGACTAATCTATATAACACTCTATTATTAAACTATATATTTACTCTAACCTAAAACTCTACTCCTAACTTAAACCAATACATATTTTACTATAAATGTTATAGAATACCAAATATAATTTTTTATTTTTTTAATAATATACAGTCAAATCTCTCTATAGTCACCTCCTCTATAGTCACAAAATTAGTATAAT